CTAATTTTACTTTGCAATATTTGCTATTCAGGTTCTCTTCTTTTCTTTGAAAGTCAGAAGAGCTGTATACTCTTGAAGCTAGACCTTAGCTATGCTGTAAACTTGACCACCTGTATGTCACTTCAGTGAGAGGCAAGAGAAGTCCCCTGTTGGTATACAGGCAAATGGAAAGAGGACAAGTCAAAAGTCTGCCTTTCCTTTGGAAAACAGGACTCTGGATTCTTATCCAGCCTCATACTGTTCAACAATGGCTTGCCCCCAGCTTCAACACCCATGTAGAAATCTGGAGACATTCTTGATTTAGTCTTTTCTCTTACCTCCCCATCCAAATCTTACTGATTCCATTTCCTAGTCTTACCTCCAACTTATCCATTTGCCTGCATCTGCCTCACTGATTCCCTGGGTCAGCACCATCAATTCTCTCACAACTGATGGAGTAGCCCCTACTTCCGCTTTTCCTACCATGACAATTCATCTTCTACAAAGCAGCCAGGGTTGTTCTATAACATAAATCATGTCATGTCCCTGCTTAAAAGCTAATGTTTTTTTCTTTTCATTTTTTAATTTTTCTTAGGCTAAAACCCGAACTCTTTACTTTGGCCTATGTGATCTGGCTTCTTCCCACTCCTTCAATTTCATCAGCTGTCTTATTCTTTACCCAGAGTTGTGGTCTTCAAGCTCCTTCACCTCATAAAGCTCTTTCTCACCTCCAGCCCTTTGCACAGATACCTGGGACCACCTTCCAGGTGGTCTACATCCTGGCACAGATACCTCCTAACTCTTCCCCTTTCAAGACTTGGCATAAAACTCATTTCTTTGGAGAGATGTTCACTGAACATCCTTTTGGAAGTAGATTCCTTTTATTAATCTCAGTATCTCTCTGTTTTCCATCAAAGCAATGATAAAAATATGTGAGGTTTTCATTCATATTTTTTTTAATTCTATGTGACTTGTTTTCCTTAACTACATTGTAAGATTCATGGAGTATCAATCACACCTATCTTACCAATTGTTATTTTCTCAGTATCTAACCAAGAATTTAACCATTTGATGAAAGAATGAATGAGTAGGTGAAAATGATCAAATCAATGGATGAGTGAATGAAAGAAAAGTCTTTGTAGCCAATAGCATAAGGAGGAGATGCACCAGATGCTCAGTCATAGGAGATATACATTGAATTAAAAACCCTACTTGTTACTGCACATGGGAGGTGCAAAAGAAAACCTCTACTTTGCAGAGAAAGTAGGACTTCGGTTGAGAAGACTAAGAGTCCAGGGTTCCTTCCAGGATTTCTTTCCCAGCTCCTGGATTCCTCTTGCCCCAGGACAAGTGTAGGTCTATTGTCTAGACCCTGTCTATTCAGGGAATGCAAGGAAATCAAACACTTTCAACCCACAATAAAACATACCTCCTTCTCCATCTTTCTGAGGAGAGGCATCAAAGGAGCTCCACCAGCCTCAGAGCTCTGCTTCTATGTGTAAAAAACCCTTCCTGGGGCTAAGTGCTCTGTGACTCATACTTGCACTCTGTAACATGGTCCATGTGCTGGTGGCACAGGGCTCCAATTTTTCATTTTGAACAGGATGTATCTGCTGGCATCACATCCCCGTGCCAAAACTTGTTAATGCCCACATCTGTATTTTTATGAATCAGGTCCGAAAAATTTGCATGTGTTTTCAATCTAAAAAGACTTATTCCTTTCTAGTGGTTTAAGAAATAAAAATGATCTTGTGCTCTATGTATGCCCAATTACCAGAGTTCACAGTAAAAGCTGGAACATTCAAATGTCAAAGCCGACATGGCACCAGATCTCACAAGGTGATTTGATTTGGTCTCTCACTGCCCCATCTTATTAAATGTTCACAAATCAAAGGGCCTCTTGGGAGTCCAAGGGAAGCACCTCCATTCAGTGGAAATGAAGAGCTATTTGCTGACACAAATGATTGCCACACTAAGTTCATTTTCCCAAAAGAAAATAATGGAGAATTAAGTAGCTGCTTTCCTGCATTTTGCAAAGCAAGATAGTAAATGCAATAAGGGCTCCAGGAGCACATTTCCTCAGTCATAAGTTGGGGGTGAGAGGACAGTGTTTGAACATGCATTTCAGGGATGCCCATAAGGGCAACAACATGCTGGTAATATGATCATGACAATAAGGAAATCATGACAATAAGGCAGGGCAAAGGTAAATTCTAGCCTTGAGAAAATAGGAATGGGGATGAGCCAATAGGTAGAGTAAGGGAGGGAATTTGGGGGGAATAGAGAATATGGAGGACCTAAGCAGCATCAACTGTGTAATTGGTAGTGCCCAGTACAAAATGAAATTGTGGGCCCCCTTGTTCAATGACAGCAGAACATTAGCAAACCAAGAGTGGAGCCTTTTTAAGCTTGGGGTTTTGTAGACTACACAGGTCATATACTGATGTCAGGCTGGGTGTGAGGTTTGTGGTAGAGAGAGGAAGGCTAGCTCTAAAAGCTGTCAAAACTCTTCAGAAAAGCAAAGTTTCCTCAGTTCAATTTACTCACAGAAAACACCACCCTTGAATGATCATAGTGAGAGAAATAAATTGCTCCTGAGCTCGTATCTAGAAGTGGCAAAAAAGGGAGGAACTGTTGGGATTCTTAAGCTAATTCCAAATTGTTTTCATTTTTGGAGTGGCTGTTCCTAAATTATGATGCATGTTAGCACCAAAACACCAGATTCCAGTCAGGGCCTTCTATTATAAGCATATTACTGATGCTTAGTAAAATAACTTCTTGTAATGTTTCTTTTATAAGGGCCATAAATCAAAATATTCAAAACAGTTAATTTTTAATGTGCCACTATTATCCATCCTTAGTTATAAATTTAATGTCTCCTTAGGCCCCACAGATTGTAGTGTGACCCAAAACATACAACGGCTGTTCAAAACTAGACAGTTCCCCAGTATCTCATTATTTAAGTCTCTAAGATACGGTTTTAAAAGCTTGAAGATATCTGAGTAAACTTGTTTAAAGGAGTCATAAAGAAAGATAAGTAGTTTTCCTCAGAAGCCTATAAAATTTATTACAACATATTAAAGTAAGATTACATATTGACTAATTTTCAGAAGACATTTGTTTTCTGGGGTACGTGGTGTTTGGGGAAATTCATGAGCAATGCAAGGTTTTCTACGAGCTTTGGCACCGGTTCCCTCCTGAGGATGACAACAAGGTTCCTATCTCAGGAAATGGCAGGGGGGATGTCAGGAATCTTATGAAAGAGCAATAAAGATCTTATGATTCAGGAGGAGACCCAAATGCAGTGCAGCGCCCTAACATTTATGGTGCAGAAGCAGCAGCTCCATAGAAAAGCCCAAAATAGGACCCACATTCCTTACGACAGCCCCCAAACTCTTAGAATCTTCCTCTCCCTACCTCTTCTATGCATGTGTGGGAAGATTTGACATACGTGTTTTTTAACATTATAAAATGTTTTATTCTTATTTAATATTGTTTTAGGTCAAATTATTCTTTTAGTAGCTTTTCAAGACACAGGGAGACTCTTTTGGACAGAGCATCAAGAATTTTTCTGGCTTCCTCACCTCCTCATGCTGACAAGCTTCCCTCTGGAACCACTTTGCATATGAAAGACATAATTTCAGTGCCATTTTTCACTTTACCAAGGAAAGAGTGAAGAGAAGAAATACTCTGATGTGACCAGGAAGAAGGTTCTACTGGCAGCAAATGGATCCAGGAGGTGTTACATCTTTACTACACAGAAGATATGGTATATGAAAATCAACTCCCCCAACTCCCCCGCCTGGCCCACGTATTCCCTGCAGGACCAGAGAAAGCCATCTGACTTACTGGTGGGACCTACAACAGGTTCAAACCAAGCAATGAAATACACCAATAAAACTGTTATCCATGGGCAAAACACACCAGTGATTGTTTTAAAATTCACCCAAAGCCCCACTGCCATGAAATAAGAAGGAAAGACTTGAGGAAGGGTACACCTGTTGTCATCCCAGAGAACAGTCTCTCTAATCACAAACTTGGTGATTTGCCAGCACTGGGACATTTCATGTTTGTGCCAGAAAAAAAAACTGCATATTCAATACTTTTTGACCACAAAAAAGTCACATGGCATACAATCTACCACATTCCTACCATATTCCATGTAACCATATGTATAGTCCACTTCAGCGACCTGAGAGTTGGTGTTAAGCAGTCTGCGGTATCCTGAAGAGATGTGAGTCCCAGCAGCAAAAGTCACTAGAGTTCAATGTTCCATTTACAACTGTAGCAATTACATGCACCACTGTTCCATCATAATGCAGATAGGAAAGAAATAAAGGGTGGGTTCTTGGTAGCTAAAAACCCTCCTTTAAAAGAGCAAAACATTTTTAAAAGGCAACACATGAAATTTATAATGTAAAGCTCCATAGAAGCACAATTATAAAAATGCAACAGATATAATGCCACTAATAAAACCTACCAATATTAATGTTTCTATTCTAATTTATTCAAAGAGGTACAGTTACCCATTCACCATTACTATGCCTTGATCCTTGTGTTTTCTTCAGAACTGCTGTAGATGAGATAGTACGGTCCATTAAACAGGCTTCTTAGAGATGACAGTTTCAGCTCCACACAAATATATCATTTTATTTTCCTTATCCCTTGCCAAACATTTGACACAACCAGAAAGATGTGAGAGTCACACCACACTGGCATATCTGGCAAAAGCAAACAGTAAGCTGAAAACCACAACTGGAGAATTGTGACAATTTCTGAGTCTACAATCATGCCTTTAAAAGTGTGCATAAATCCTAGTGAGGGCGTAGTTTACATCTTAAATAACACAGAAACATTTGAATCGTGCTCAACACGGCAGTGCAATACTGTGGTCTCAGGGTGTCAGGGAAGGGGTGAAGGTAGGAAGGAGAGGGCTCTCGGGGATGGTCACAGAACACAGGAGCAAACACAGGGCACAGTCACAAACATCAGCGAACATAATTGATCACGCACACAATACAACACCAGAATGCAACCTTTTAAAGAAAAATGATATAAAAGATGGTTTCTCACCCCTCAAAACAACACTGGAACTTTGGTTTACAGGCCCGGCTATGCCCATATGCCCTCCTCGTCATCCTGTGGCCGGCCCGGGGAGGGAGGTGCACGGAGAGGAGGGAGCACCGGAATGAAAGAAGAGAAGGTTAGTTACACCGTGATGCAGTGCAAAGGCACACTGTTCTTCACTTTCTTTTTAAATCTTAAAGCACGAGAAAAAAAATCCATAGTAACTTAAGTTACACATCACTGACTTGTCAAATACATAACTGAGTTTTGTATCTATGGCAACCCCCACACAGAAACATTCCACCCACCCAGCTCTGACTCTGTGTCAAGATTGGATTAGAAGATTAAAATTAGTCTACATTAGCAGATGATTATTTTTTTGGAAAGCATGCAATCTGAATTGCATATGCCTAAGGAATAGATTAAACCTTTTATTTAAGTAAGCGGAGAAGTAATTATAGTAATCAAATACCCTTAATTTCTCTTAAGCTTAAAGTATCAATAAAGGCTGAAGAAGAATTAAAAAAAAAAGATCTACTTTTGTAGCATGCAATAATTCACACTCGTTATTTCACAAAGGCTCAAACATGCTGTGATCTTCTCGATTTGTCAGGTTCTATTTTGCTCTCAGCATAAAGGAGGATGTGCGTGCCATGGGATGATTATACATTTGCAATCAAATAAGTTTCAAAGAAAAGAGAGCACACTTTCAATCCAGTAGAATGCTTATAGAAAGGAAATTTTGTTTAACTTAAAATTGTATTCAACTGTGGATAAACTGAAACTTATTTGGTCTGAATTCTTGTTGTTGAAAACATTTCCAGAATGGCTCTGGCGACTTTCCCCGCTTAGTGAAGTGGCAGATAGGCAGGGAAATTCAAACTTTGAAGAGAGAAGTACATTCAGAATAGGACCACCACCACCACAAAGGTCCCATTTTGAACGCGAATGTTCGCTGTTTACTGCCAGGAGAGAGAAAATGCTGAAGGCTGAGGGGTTTATGTCCTGGTCTCACACAGAACTTGCAAGCAGGGTCTTTTCATAAGTCCCTGATGACATCAGGTTTTGCCATGATGTGCTTCTTTGTTTTAAAAACCAGGACTAGAAAAAAAATAACTGGAAACATTTTCTTACTATTGGATCCTTATTGCTTAAATTGTGCACTATTAGGTTGAATCATATGAAAAATGCCAATATTTGGCAATTTTTGATCTAGAAAAACAGCAGTTTCATACAGTTCAATCTGACCTTGCCGAAAAGCAAGGGTAATTTTTATCTACTCAAAGATTTAGATCTGTGGTCTTGAACTGAATGTTCATAAAATTTGTTTCTTTTCTATCTCTTCATATTGCATTTTCTGCATTTAAAAATATTATCTTGAGAAGAGGTTCAGAGAGTTCATCAGACTGCCAGAAGAGTCTATGGGTCGCAGAGAGTTAAAGAATCCCCAGCTGATGTGTCAATCAGGAGATTTGCACACAGTCAAAATTGTCAATTTTGACTTGGTATGAATTTGCACTGGCAAGTTTAGATAGGAACATTCTGGCAAAAATAAGATACAATAGATATTTTCGTGGGGTTTTCGCATGTAAAATATACCTGTGTTTGTCACTGCACAGTCTAGAAATTGTTCCTGACCAAAAACAGAAAACAAAACAACAAAAAAAACTTCTATTTTCCCTACATAACTTGAGAAACATGTATTTTTCCACTCACTAAATTTCTTTTCAGTTCTTAGAGAAAAGCAAAGTTGACATCTGTTTTTATGCTAATAAAGAAGGAAAAGTCTATACCATCCACAAATGGGTTTCAAGGGGTCTAGCAACCCCTTGAAATTCAACACAGAACATTGTAGGGGGTTGTGAAAGTAGATTTCTCTGGATGGAGGCTTTCATCATAAGGTTCTTGACCCCCCAAAGTTATTGCTGTAGGAAAACTCCAGGCACAGAGAGATGCTATGATATGCCAAAGTCACAAAGTAAAGCAGCATTTTCCTCATAATGCAGCCTACAGCCTCTCTTGACCGCTTCTAAAAGACGATAAAATCATCTTCCTTGCAGAGCAGTTTCTTTCATTTTGCATTTAAAACCCAATAGCATGTATATGTTCAGTTTGTTTCAAATCCACTCATACTGGGCTTTAAACTTCAAAAAAGAAGAAAGAAAGAAATGAGGAAAGCGACTGCCACCAAAATCTACCACTATTTTCTTAACAGTGAAATGTGGTCTAATGCAAATCACTTTTCGCAAATTAAATACATTAAAAAGTGGTAATTAATTATGATTGAATGAGACAGGAGTTGTAACTTGAAAATATACACTGCCAATAGCACTACTGTGCCTCGTCCACCATAGGAATAAAAAGGAGCCCCCAGATGTCGAGGGTTATTAAAAACCAGATGTTGAGATCGACATCGTGTATGCTGGTGAATGAAGTAAAGAAATATGACAGTCCAATATAAACTTTGCTAACATTTAACATGGCAGAAATGGGGATAAATTCCTTGAGCGAACTTGTAATATTATGCATATTTTCAAGTTTTTAAGTTTCTAAAGTTTAAAGTTTTTAAAAGAAAATAGAAAGGGAAGTGGTGGCCATTTCTGTTCTCTCTAATCTTCAAAGCTTAAACATGAATTGACCCTAATCACCAAGTGATCTGGGTCAGAGTGAGTGTCTGCTTGGGGAATAAAAAACAAAAATGCAGGAGCTAATCAGAGAGGGAGCTCCAGCTATTTCCAAACGTTCGCAGCTGTTTGACTCCTGCCTGCATCTTTGGATGCAAATATTAATTTATTCAGCAACCTTACCATATAGAAATGTAAATTTGGGGACCAAAAATAAGAAACAGATAGATATCACTTGGTCACTAAATTTGTGCCAAGTTATTCAGAAATACTTGGAGTTTTACAATGGAGTTTATCCTGGGGGATTCTGTTCCTGTTCTCTTGTTTCTAAATCAACTCTGCACTGGCTTTCCTGGACGCCCCCTGTTGTTTGTTCCCTTGTGTCCTCCGTGAGCGATGGCTATGCCAGGAGTTGCCAAAATATCCAGACAGAAAGAAAGCCTCTAGTCCATCAGTCACCCAAGTGCTTTTGTCCGTAGCATCTGCGGATGGGAACATCCAGGGTGGGCTGAAGCCCAGAGCTCACTGACCACGACACACAGCAAATTTTGAAGAGAGAGAAAGCTTAACCAAATAACCTCAGGTTGTACCCACGGCTCCAGAGATGATATGAGGCCTTGATGGTAAATCTGCAGTCCCAGATTCTGGGCCCTAATGGGATTCTCTAAATACAGAGATAAAGAAAAATTCCTCACCAGATGGGCCACTCACAGGGCCATGCTGAATGCAAGATCTAAGGGCAAAGGACAGAGACATCGCTGACAAGACAGGAGACTCACTGTTGTGAGGCATTTATTGGCCCCAGCAAAGAAGCTCTGGGAAGGAGCGCTATAATCTGACATGATGAATGGTCCAGAGTAAACCTGTAATTGGTCTCTATTTTGAAATATTGGGTAAAAGAGCAGGCAAGCCTCAGGCCATCACTGGATATTAAAAACAAACCAACAAACAAAAAACCTGGCAGTTCTCTTTGATTTGCTAGTCAGCTTTTTTTTTCTTGAAATCAGGGGATGAGTTTCCTAAGGAGGACCTTACGGTCACACCTGTCCTACCTGGACATAAGAGTACAATTATGGAAGTGTCACCTTCCAATCAGCCCACCACCTCTGTGAGAACTCAGCTGCCATCTCTGTCAGGAAGACATGGGAAGAGATGTAAGGAGACTGTCGTGGCTATAAACAGAGACAGTCACCAGACCCGCCCCTCCCCCTACTTTAGTTCAGGGTTCCTCTGGCACTTTCAGAAAACTTCAAGCCCCAGGATTCTTCAAATTTTGGCTGCACAAATTCCAAAAGTGGGACTATAGTGTGGGATTTACATTGTGCCCTGCACCTGGGTTCACCCAAGCAACCCCTCTCCGCATACCCCACTGAAGGCTTGGCCAGAACTGGGACAGACAGATGCACATGTAAAGGGAAACAACGGGCCTGAGCCTGGAGAACAGGGACCCTGAACCTCTTCAGGGCACTAGTAAGTTTTCTCTCAGGGTCAAGACCTCCCATGCATGTCTTTCACCTCTCCTGCTTCCTGGAATGCTTAGCCCTTGGATGGATATCATTGTTCAGGTCATGAGATCAGGGATGGCCATGAACTCTTACTGACTTTGTATTTATTACAGTCCGTGGGGCCCGTTTGCAGACAAGTTCCCCCAAATAATAGGAAAGTCCTATCTGGCTTCAAATACCTGGTTGGTGCTCTTTTTGACTACATATGTTGGCTTATTTCTGACCTGGGCTAGACATGAGCCAGCAGGTATCAGCATCTGCTCCAGGTTAGAGACAGTATGACAGCTTCCTGTGCTTCTTCACCGAGTCTCACCACAGCGCCACGACACAGGTACTGGCAGGTTCTTTGTGCAGATGTGGAAAGGAAGACTCAGGGAGAAAGTTCAGGAAGCTCACCAAAGGACACTTGGCCAGGAGGTGTGGAACTGGGTCAAATTCCAGTCTGTCTGACCACAAAGATTCTCCGTTTCTGATATGGGCACTGTGAAGCCCAGGAAGAAGAGCTCATTTTGACCTTAGAAGGCATTTTCTGGTTCTGCTGAGCTCAGCTTTGAGTACTTCAGATTTTGCATCCCTCCTCCCAAGCTGTTGAAAATCTTGGAGTTGGATGGTACATCTTGGTTTGGTCCCCCTGGACCTTAGAAGACAGAGAAGCTCCCGTGCTTCCCGTGCAAGAGCATGGGTCCCTTAAATGGGAATATCATCAGCACTCAAACAAATGCCAAGGTCCCTGAGGAAAAAGGGAGCACCTTCAGTCCCTTCACACTGCCATTCATTGTCTCAGATCTGGGCACATAAAAAATATTTCCAAAAGAGGAAGCATATAAGGCTCGATTCTTGCTCTCTGCCTGACTCTACTCCTCTGAGAGGGTACATGCCTGGATTCCAGAGTTCCTCAGGGTCGGCCTGATCATGTCTCTTTGTTTCTCCACAGCATGGCTCC